TTTTTGAGCTTTATAATAGAGACCTATAGTCAGTCCTTTATTATGCTCAATTTTAACACGCTTATGAGTTCCCAGAAGATCTTACTAAAATGTAGATCCTATCTAACAAGTGTCCGTGTGATGCAAATCTGCTAGTCTACCATCATACTTTTTTATTTTAATTGTGCGTATAATTAACCCAGATTTTCTGGTTTATTGCACCCAGATTTAAAAGTGGCCAAGGTAAAAGTTGCAAGGGATGATCATAGTGACAGCCATTCACATGAAAGAAAATAGGAAAAAAACACACTGAGTTAATTATAGAAGCAAACATTTCCACATTCATTAGTCCATGGTGGTATGACTACTGAAAAAGTTTTTGATGTTTGTCAGCAAGACCCAGGCTTTGAATCCCACTCTTTGTCCAGCACAGGACAATATACCCAGTAAGTTAGTCAGTCCCAAGTTTCTTGGGAAAAGTAAATTAAAAAGGACAACTTCGCTTTAGCAAATCATTGAGCATAAAGACCTCTAGAAGGTGGTAAGAGTTCCTAATTGTTAGCCTTGATTTTTTTTTTGCCTCACAATTTTTAATCACTTTTTCCAAGGTGTATGTTATTGCTTCTTTCAAATGCATTTTCATTTGAAAAGCAAATCAATGGTCTGGGCTGGAAAAATAGCTTAGAGAATCCCTTGAAATGAGACTCCCACCCCACCCCCCAAGTTTTATGCAAATGGACCTTCCTTTCAGGTACGTTCTCCTTGAGCTTCTGTTGAAAAATGAATAAAACTATGGGCAAATCATTATCAGCCAGTTTCTTCTAAAAACCCACACACGCCCCCAAGATTTCTCTCTAGCCTTTCCTTTTACAAATGCAGTAATCTTCATTCTAAGGGGGTAATTAGGTTTTTAGTTTATATCTCAGCAGATTTGCCAAAAAGATTGAAGAAGGACTTTGATATCTAAAAGTCAGTTCTAATTTGGGAAGATAATTTTTCAGAGAATTGTGTGACACTTCTTGGAATTTTATCCAAGAAGGGATTGAACCTAGATCATGGATCTTTCTCGAAATTTTCCCCCTAAATTTTAATGGGCTTAGTCTTTACACAGAAATTGGTTATGAGCACCTACTTACTGTGTTAGGCAGTCGGCTCTTCTACCTCTGATGCTTGTCATGTGCCCCAAAAAAAAAAAAGTTTGTATTAGTAGACAGTAATTCTTGCAGCTGAGTTAACACTTTGAAAATGAAATAATGGGGGGGGGCCTGGGTGGCTCAGTCAGTTAAGTGTTTGGCTCAGGTCATGATCTCAGGGTCATGAGGTCAAGCCCCACATCAGCCTCCCCGCTGAGTAGGGAGTCTATTTCTCTCCCTCTGCCCATCCACCTGTGCACTTGTGCTCTCTCTTTCTACTAAATAAATCTTTAAGAAAATAGAACAATGACAACATATTAATTGTCCTTAATAAAAAAACTTTTGGGGCGCCTGGGTGGCTCAGTCGTTAAGCGTCTGCCTTCGGCTCAGGTCATGATCCCAGGGTCCTGGGATCGAGCCCCACATCGGG